GAATCACATACGTACTCTTTGTTTGGTCAAATCACATACGTACTCAAGACTTTCAATAAATTATCTTTTTCCAACAGGATCTAGCCTAGTAGAAAAGAATTTTAATTTGTAGACTAGTGGTCTCAGGTTCGAACCCCATGACATTGTGAGAAACCTTTCTCCCCTTGTAATTTAGACTATCGCTTGTACTAAAATAAATAAATAAATAAAGTATATTTTCCAAAAAAACAAAAAACAATATAAAACATCTCTATCTCTCACTTTTTTTTGCCCTCTTTTGTATCCAAATATATATATATATATATATATATATATATAATACTATTGACGTAATTAAATGTAGTTAGTATTTTACAACATCCACGATATCCCTCTAACTTCTAAGTCATGTGGTCGGAAATCGTATTAAAATTTAAAGGCATTGTAGTTATCCTGAGTTGTTGATCGATAGAATAAGTCAACGTGACCCATGGCAATGCTTCCTAAATATATAAAATTGTTGATTATTTGAAATTATGGTCTTCATTTTTCTAAGATATAACAGAAACAAAATTTGGAAGTAATTGACTTTTTAATTATCCATGTATTTAACATGTAGGTTGGAAGAGTCTCACCTCAGAGGGTTCATTTTGGACTTTCGGAATCTCAAGGTCGACCCTAATTTCAAAAAATGTATGCAATATGTGATTGGTTGCTGCTTTGAAAAGTTACTTTTGGGAAGCGTAATGCAGTTAGTGAATCATATAGATACCTAATATATTCTCATATTGGAGTATAATTACATAATACAGCCACACGGGTAGGTTTTCTAATGACATTAATAAAGCTATTTGCTTGTGCTTTAATTATTTGTTGGCTTGTGGTTTTGAACCTCCAAGGTCTTCTCATGGCGTAATCAATAGCGTTTTGGATAAAATAGTTGGTCTAAAAATACTGTCCTTTTGTATTAAGCGTTTCGAGCAAGTCAAATCATTTGATGCAATAAGATGGGTTGTTCATCCCATCACCACAAGTTTTACTTAAACATTTTCTTAGACAAAGATATTGCGGCCAGTGGGAGTAAGTGGAAAGTTGACATGTTCATGTTTTGCAACCCTTTTTCTAATTGTTTGAGTTATACAACAAGGACAATTACGCCTAAGAGGAGATTTGTAAAGTATATTTGGATTGTTGTCTAATTCAATGAGTCTAGTCTCAATATTTACAAGTTCACCAAACAACGATCAAGATTCTCATCCACTTTAATTGAAATAGTCCAATTCAGTCCGACTCACAAAACGTTACCTAAAAATAAAACATGTGATTCAAAATACGAGTTTCCTTAGAATTCGACAATATTTGTAGTTCATAACAAAAGTAAGGCCTATTTTAGTTATTTTTATCCAACACACTGATATATACCATTTAATATCAAAATATAACATCTTTAAATCATTTGAATTAGAAGTTATATTTCTTTCGAATTTCTCCATATTCAAAGTTTTCCCATATCTATTGTTAAATTTATGGTACCTTTGACATGCATAAAGCAATATGGAAAATCGCTTAATTGTTTTTTCAAGGAAATAACCAAACTAAACCGGATCAAACCAACTACTTCTTTTAATCAAACCAAACCGAATGAGTTGGGGAAGCCAACCTTGATTCATTGTGGGGTGCTTTTTTATTTTTTGCAGCCTTAAAGCCTTTTGCTTCTATACATACCAACCTCTTTTCCTGCCCAGGCAGTTGGCCTTTTGAATTCAACGAAATTAGTTGTGAGGTAAGGGTTCATAGTTTCGAGTTGTAACTTGTAATAGTATTAATATCACATATGCAGAAGGCCTTCACTGTTATCTTAAGTTATCTTAAGTTCGAACCTTCATAATACCTTGATAATGTGTATGTGAGAGAAATCCCCCCTCTTCCTTTTAGATTAGACTATCGCTTGTATTAAAAAAAAAAAAAATCTCAATATATATAACATGCATACTCTTTGTTTGGTCAAATCACATACGTACTCTTTGTTTGGTCAAATCACATACGTACTCTTTGTTTGGTCAAATCACATACGTACTCAAGACTTTCAATAAATTATCTTTTTCCAACAGGATCTAGCCTAGTAGAAAAGAATTTTAATTTGTAGACTAGTGGTCTCAGGTTCGAACCCCATGACATTGTGAGAAACCTTTCTCCCCTTGTAATTTAGACTATCGCTTGTACTAAAATAAATAAATAAATAAAGTATATTTTCCAAAAAAACAAAAAACAATATAAAACATCTCTATCCCTCACTTTTTTTTGCCCTCTTTTGTATCCATATATATATATATATAATACTATTGACGTAATTAAATGTAGTTAGTATTTTACAACATCCACGATATCCCTCTAACTTCTAAGTCATGTGGTCGGAAATCGTATTAAAATTTAAAGGCATTGTAGTTATCCTGAGTTGTTGATCGATAGAATAAGTCAACGTGACCCATGGCAATGCTTCCTAAATATATAAAATTGTTGATTATTTGAAATTATGGTCTTCATTTTTCTAAGATATAACAGAAACAAAATTTGGAAGTAATTGACTTTTTAATTATCCATGTATTTAACATGTAGGTTGGAAGAGTCTCACCTCAGAGGGTTCATTTTGGACTTTCGGAATCTCAAGGTCGACCCTAATTTCAAAAAATGTATGCAATATGTGATTGGTTGCTGCTTTGAAAAGTTACTTTTGGGAAGCGTAATGCAGTTAGTGAATCATATAGATACCTAATATATTCTCATATTGGAGTATAATTACATAATACAGCCACACGGGTAGGTTTTCTAATGACATTAATAAAGCTATTTGCTTGTGCTTTAATTATTTGTTGGCTTGTGGTTTTGAACCTCCAAGGTCTTCTCATGGCGTAATCAATAGCGTTTTGGATAAAATAGTTGGTCTAAAAATACTGTCCTTTTGTATTAAGCGTTTCGAGCAAGTCAAATCATTTGATGCAATAAGATGGGTTGTTCATCCCATCACCACAAGTTTTACTTAAACATTTTCTTAGACAAAGATATTGCGGCCAGTGGGAGTAAGTGGAAAGTTGACATGTTCATGTTTTGCAACCCTTTTTCTAATTGTTTGAGTTATACAACAAGGACAATTACGCCTAAGAGGAGATTTGTAAAGTATATTTGGATTGTTGTCTAATTCAATGAGTCTAGTCTCAATATTTACAAGTTCACCAAACAACGATCAAGATTCTCATCCACTTTAATTGAAATAGTCCAATTCAGTCCGACCCACAAAACGTTACCTAAAAATAAAACATGTGATTCAACCATAGTATAATACGAGTTTCCTTAGAATTCGACAATATTTGTAGTTCATAACAAAAGTAAGGCCTATTTTAGTGCACGATACAGAACTCAATTACTGGTTATTTATGGCTTCAACCATTTCTTAATGTGAAAAAGAAATCGTAAGAAGCAAAGCAATACAAAGACAACTTATTCTTATTTCACTAATCAAGTGTCCACATTGCCTTATTTATACCAAACTCTTGTACTTATGAGATTTGAACTAATATAGCCTTACCTAACAAAATAAAGACTCAATACCACTAATAAAATGATGTTGACTTAATATAGATTAAAAACAACACGGGGTTTATTATATGGGTTCATTACATTAAACTTGCTTAATTATCCTCTTTTGTTTCCCCACCTCTAGAGCTACTGCATAATTATCTCTACACTCTACAGTGATGTACTCTAATGAAGTAAATCAAAGTCAACTAACTGAAGGCGGTGATCAACGGCACGAAAAGGGGCACAGCGCATTCACATTTCTTCCGTCTCCCACCGGATCGCCACCTATTTCGAACCTTCGGACCAGGCTGTGCATGTTCGTCAGCTCTGACTCACTCAAATCCGCTTCCAAATTTTTTATCCCCTGCTACGCATACCTTGAACGACAATTCTCCTCGACACCTCACTAGCCTGCCACCTGTCAAAACGGGGTAAATTTAATCACCCACCATCATTAACTAGTCAAAGCTCAGCGGGTCCATTAAAAACACCGTACACCAAATCGCACAGAATATTTCTCCTCTCTTTCCCGAAAAGCCCTTTTTGAATTTAAATATTACAAAAAAGGCAGACAAAGAAGCAAGAGACAAAATCAAAAGGAGTTGTACACAGAAGCACAAGGAGTGAGAATACTAGCGTACACTCTAGAGCACGTAGAACGTATACTAGCATGCTAAATCCAACCGTTCATTCTCGAATGCTTCTTCTAGGGGAAGCAATCATTTTCAAAATCTGATTTTGACCATCCATGTGTGATTATTCAAATCTGACGGTCCAGAATCTGTCGAAGATTTCGTTTCTTTGTATAGAGGTGAGTAGCTTATAATCTCCCATCACTTGGCTTCTTGTGTCTCAGCGGAGAAGGCCCCTACTCATTCTGTCTCAGTCCCTCTCTTCCTTTTCTTGCTTTCTCTCTCTCTTTCTCTCCTGACTCAAATTCTCTTTCATTCTCTTGGTTTATCGTTTTCTCGCCGTAGATCTCAAATTTCTCATTTTCTCATTTTCTCATTTTGTCGTCTCTCGCCGGCGAGAGTCGACTCAGATTCGACACGGGCCGTCAGATGTGCGGACTTTGACTTGGGCTCGTGATCCGATACACCGCCGGAGGGAGCTTCGACGATGGGCCAGTGCTACGGCAAG